AAATTAAAAAAAAATAAAAGACACAGCACAGGGCAGGAGAGACGGCTCGGTGGAATAAGCGCTTCCCTGTCACCCTGTCAAGCACGAGGGCCTGAGTTCAATCCCCCATTCTGCAAACACTGGCCTGGCAAGATAACCTGGCAGACTAAGTGCCTGTTTAGGGGCACAGGGACCTGGTTTCACCACGTGCCGCGTCGGCCTGCCCCCATGCACGCTGAGTCAGCGATTGAGTCTGGGCGTGGTGGTACATGGCTGTAATCCCAGTGCTGGGGAGGCTAAACACAGGAGGATCACTACGAGTCCGAGCAGCATAGTGAGACCCTGTACCAAATACATTAAAACTTTTTAAAAAGGGGCCAGGGAGATGGCTCAATAAGTGCTTCCCTGGCAAGTGCAAGGGCCTGAGTTCAATCCCCAGTTCTGAGAATATAAATAAATAAAAATAAAAATAAAAAAAGAACACCAACCCTTAACAGGTAAAAAACACATTTTGTGACTTTGAGTCTTTTCTTCAACATCCCTGAGTTGTGTTTTGTTTAATTAAGTTATTATATTATTATTTTGTACAGTCTCATTATACACTCAGACTCAGTGATCCTCCTATTTTCAGCCTCCTCAGCACGCCTAGGGGCAGGGCTGGCTTGTGGTGCCGGGCATAAAACCTTGGTCCCTGTGCTTGCCTAAGCAGGAGCTTAGTCCGCTAAGCTATCTTGCCGGCCTTCATCCCTGAGTTTTGGCCTAGGGATGGCTGCTGTATTTTTGACCTTAGGGGCATGGGAGATAGGTCAGTGGCTTAGGCAACTGCCTGGAAAAGCACAAAGTCCTGAGTTTGATCCCTGTTACCCCCCCCCAAATAATAAATAAATAAATTTTTGACCCTAAAACTGGGGCATACTTTAAAAAGCATCAACATAAAAGAAATTTAAGAACACTGAATAAACTGTCATAAATTTTTCTTTTTCTTTTTTTTTTTGTGATACCTGGGACTGAACTCAGGACCCCGCACTTGCCAGGCAGTAACTTATTCTACTGAGCTATCTTTCCGGCCCATAATTGTCATAAATTTAAAACAAGCCAAATAACTTATTACTGTGAAAGTTCATATAATCAGCCAGCTTCTAAAACACCTTTTAGGGCCAGGGAGATGGCTCAGTGGAATAAGCACTTCCCTGGCAAGCATAAGGGCCTGAGTTCAATCCCTGGTTCCGCACCAAAAAAAAAAATAAAAAAAATAAAAAATAAATAAAACACCTTTTAGTACAGAGCTGTCCCACAGAACTTTTTATGATAGAAATGAGGTGTTCTGTATCTTTTTTTCTAAGAATATCCATTTATTTATAATTATCGCGGGGCTGGTGAGATGGCTCAGTGGTCTAAAGCACCTACTTAGAACAAGCTTAGCAAAGCACAGGGACCATGGTTCAATCCCCCAGCACCACATGCCAGCCCGCCCCGCCCCCTGGTGGGCTGAGCTGGCCACACACACACACACACACACACACACAAATAAATAAATATAATTATCACTAAGTAAACGTCTCTCTTAAAAACAAACATAAAAACACAGTAGGGCTTTGCACAAGTCAGGTCTCTAAGTGGTCGCTTCATACACATGTGAAAATAAGTTAGAATGGAATTCGTGCAGGAGTCTGCAAGCCACCCGACGCTGGGAGCATGCCATCTGCTCCCTTCGCGATGCCTGGGCACAAGGCCCAGGACAGGGGCACTCAAGCAGGAGCCTTGCAGGGGCAGTGCCGGGGGCAGTGCGGGTGGGGCGCTGGCTTCCAGGATGCACCCAGGCACCAGCAGGAGGAGGAGGAACGGGGTTCTTTTTGGCACCAGGGGAGAAAGTCACTGTGGGAAGAAGTAGTTTACAGTGGTAATGCTTTCTTTCTTTTTTTTTTTTTTTAAAGGGAAGGCATTATTCTTTTTTTTAAATTAATTAATTAATTAATTAATTTGTGTGTGTGTGTGTTATTTATTGTGTGGCCAGTTCAGCCCACCAGGGGGCGGGGCTGGCTGGCATGTGGTGCTGGGGATTGAACCGAGGTCCCTGTGCTTTTGTTTAGCTTAGCTTGTTCTAAGTAGGTGCTTTAGACCACTGAGCCATCTCACCAGCCCCATGGGGATGCTTTCTGCTCAGCAGGAGAAAACATCTTGTCCAGGGACACCGGAGTCACAGGTATTCTGTATTTTTGTTGGTGAAATACTTGAAACATAGCTAATGCAATGGAGAAACTACATATTATTTTATGGCCACGCCATTTTTCTGTGCAGTACAGTTTTGCTATGTTCCAGGGATGCAGAATATGCCACTTGCGTGAAATAGAAACAGGGAGCTTCTGCTATCACTTACAGGTTAGAAGTAGATTTAATTTAAATTAATCTAAGCAGACACGGGGCTGGTGAGATGGCTCAGTGGTCTAAAGCACCTACCTAGAACAAGCTAAGCAAAGCACAGGGACCACGGTTAAATCCCCCAGCACCACATGCCAGCCAGCCCTGCCCCCTGGTGGGCTGAGCTGGCCACACACACACACACACACACACACATAAATAAACAAAAATTAAAAAAAAAAAAATCTAAGCAGACACATATAAAAATAAATAAATCACGGGGCACCTACAGGCTGGTGGCTACCATACTGGAAGGTCAAATGTAGCCTGAGGACTACCCACACTCACTGCCGTGGTCCAGCTTACCAGCTTCCCAGCGTCCATCGTTGCCTTCAGCTTTTTCCCCAGCTCTGAGCCAGAAGCTACCATGGCCCTCAGCATGTCCCCAGTGGCTAAATGGCAGACACAGAAGTTTTCAGCTAATCTGGGTGCCTGCAGAGAAAGACGAAAAGCAAGGTAGAGTTAACACTGCAGGCCCTAGAATCAAGACTGCTGGGGTGGGAACTGGGTCCTGCCACTTACTGGTTACGTGAACTCAGGCAAATGCCTCTTTATTTCTTTGTATTGGGAAATGTTTTTTTTTTTTTTTTCCAGAACCGGGGATTGAACTCAAGACCCTGTACTTGCCAGGCAAGTGCTTATTCTACTGAGCCATCTCCCCGGCCCCTGGGAAATGTTATATTCTCATGTAAAAGAACTACAGGATTATGATAAAAATTATATGAGGTAATACATGTAAAGTGCTATATTTACAAGAGCATACCTAGTACACAAGAAGCTATCATAATATTGGCTATTGTCGCTACTTCTACTGGCCACACAAATGATATAGACACCTTTCCTTATTGTAAACAAGAGGAAAAAAAGCAGTTATTATCAAAATTTTACAAATTTGCTGTGAAGCTTAAAAAAATGTCAATCCCATGGCACACTGCCTGGCACACAATGTGCTGAATATTTGCCAAAATAATAGATGTATCACCCTCTGCACCTTGCAGCTGGGCACAGGGTAAAGAACTAGGTTCCTTCCTTCTCCCCAGGGTGCTGCATTATACTGGCTGAAGGCTGCATGTCAGAGTTGGCTGTGAGGCTTAGATGAGACGTACAAGCACAGCACTCAGTAAGTAACAAGCACCTACATATTAGTTTTACGAGACCATACAGCCATTCCATTAAGAGCATGTGCTGAAGTCAAACTGCCTGGGTTTCGGACTGCAGCCCCATCACTACATATGTGACTCATGAAGTTATTTTCATTTCCAATTTTCAAATTTCCTCTAAATAAAAGGAAATGGCACTGGACCTCTATCACTGGGTTGACAACGAATGTGGCATATGCGAGGCACACGAGGATCCTTAGTGAGCATTAGCTGTTACTGTAATGCTGGCCCCAGTTCCACATTCATTGATATAGAAAGAAAATATTTGCTTATGTCTCTTCCAAGAATTCACAGAGCCAAGGACATGGAGGAACAGGAAACAGATTATGTCCTCAAAGAGCTCAGTTTGGTGGATTACAAATCAGAACAGAGAGAGCCTAAGACAGTTCGACAATGATTTTATATGGCAAAAAAGAATGCAGAATTCACAGGAAATTGAATAGTTTCAAGGAGCTTAGTACTTAGCTTTTAGCTTTCTGGTTCAGGTGTTTTAGAAAGTAAGTAGTTGGATCACCATTTAAACCATTTTGTTGGGAGCTTTTTTAAATGCACACAATAAAAGTAAATACATGGGGCTCAATGGAGGAAATTCTGGCTTATGATTCACAGACTGATTCAATTCAAACAGAGAAATTACTTCTTCACAAAATGGAACTCAGATGGGAAAGCATTAAAGACTGTACTTTGGGTTGGATGTGGTGGCACATGTTTCTTATCCCACCTACCTAGGAAGCTGGGGCAGGAGAACTACAAATTTGAGGCCAGCCTGGGCAACTCAGCAAGATCCTATCTCAAAATGAAAATATAAAAAGGGCTGTGATACTGCTTACTGGTACAGAGTCTGGGGTGTGAGGCTCTGGGTATTGAACCTATCCATGCTACTGCAAAAAATTAAACGACATAAACTCTGCACTTTGAAAAACAATAAAGATCAAGACCTTCTGGCAATGGAAAACCAGGCTGGCACTGTGGCATGCCCCTACGTTATCTACTTGGGTGCGGACATTAACTTGGGCAAACACTGAGGATCAGGTTTATTCATGGGAAAGGTAACCAAAGTGCTACAGAAGAGAGCTGTCAGAACAGAGCCTGACAATGCTGTTTTCACCACTCCCAAACTGCAGGACTCACACACCATTCAAGGTGAGTGGATTCCGTAGCTGCATAAAAAACACACACCAAAAGGGGCCGGGGAGATGGCTCAGTGGAAAAAGTGCTTCCCTGGCAAGTGCAAGGGCCTGAGTTCAATCCCTGGTTCCGGAAAGAAAAACCTAGAATAAAACACACACCAATAAGGACGAGGAATGAGAAAGCCTACTTCCTCTATTTCCTGCTGGCTGCATGGAAGCCCCTGTGGTAGGGTGTAAGGAATATGGATGGGCTCAAATCCTGTCTACACTACTAACCAGCTACATGACACCGAGTTAGCTGCTGAACTTTTTTTTTTTTGGTCTGGCTCAGAAACTGCTTTTTGTTTTTTTGTTTTTTTTTCAGAACTGGGATTGAATTCAGGCCCTTGCGCTTGCCAGGGAAGCGCTTATTCCACTGAGCCATCTCCCCGGCCCGCTGCTGAACTTCTGAGTTAGTTTCCTCATCAGTCAAATGAGGATAATGGCTACATCATAGGACCCTTATGGGGGCACATGAAATAAAATGCCAAGCATCAGACACACAGTAAGCATTCAAAAAGTAAGATTTTCTGTGGTCTTTCTTTGGCGTTAGTCTTCATGTGTGGGCTGCTGAAGCCTCACAAATGCTGCTCTAGTCCCATCATACCTCAAACCCATGCTTCAGAGCAGCTTCTTAGACCCTAAGTCACTTGAGGATTAACAGGCAGATTCTGATTAGAAAGGAAAGGAACCAACCACATGCTTAATTTTTTTTTTTTTTTTTAGTACTGAAAATTGAACTCAGGACTTGCGCTTGCCAGGCAGGGGCTGCACCACTGAGCTATATCCCCACACCACATGCTTAACTTTGAGCAAACTTTTGGGATTGGATGGTGGCCAGCTGCACAGTCACACTCTGCTGCTGGCTGTGAACTGCTGAGCTTAAGGAAGAGGTCCAGCATCTCCACGAGACACCTGCTCAGGGTGGAGGACTTTTTGGGGGAGTGGATGGAAATGGCTGAAAACCCCTCCCCCCAAGGCAGCACGGTGTGGCGTGGTGGTTCTCAAACTTCAGTGTTCAGATGGACTCCATAATAGTTCAGCTTACAATTTTTAAGTTGTGATGGTTTCAAAGAGATGCGTTCTTTGAAATTTGATTTTCCCCAAGCTAGCCAGATGTGAGCAGAAGCAGGAGCTGCAGCTCATACTCAGCTATGAAATTATGAGGGAAAACAACTAATACTGTGCAGCACTGTGTTGATGAACTACGTTTGGCAGGTCAGATACATTAAATGCATTTTCAACTTGATTTAAAATGGGTTTATCGGGACCGGGGAGATGGCTCAGTAGGATAAGTGCTTGGCTGGCAACGCAAGGATCTGAGTTCAATCCCCGGTTCTGGGAAAAAAATAAATAAATAAATAAAATAAAACAAAATACAAATGTTAGCCTTACCCTACCCTTAGAAATTCTCTGCTAGTGATCTTTCCCCCCTGGAGATAAGGGTCTCACCATGAGTGAGGCAAAAACCACAAGTCTTCCACCTCAGTCTGGGATTGCAGGTGTCCACCAGTGTGCCAGGCTACGGCAGTGCTCTGGAATTCTGTTCGGTTTCTTTGCAGGGCTGAGACAGAGCCCAGGGCCTCATGTATGCTAGGCAGATGCCTCAGCGCTGAGCTATACCCCCTGCTCTGTGCTGGGATTCTGATGCAGTTTGTGAGGCCCTGTGGCAGTTGCCAGAGACTGGGTTTCACAGTGGTACAGACCTTGGGTTGGAACCCAGATTCTACCATGTATTCCCTATTGTATCTCAAACACAGTCATAACCTTCCTAAGGCCTCAGGTTCTTTTTTTTTTTTTTATGTTTTTAAATAATTTATTTTTTT